GATTTTTTTGAAGATATCGCGACGATATAGTTATGATAGTCTTAACGATACCTTTCCAACATCTTCACAATATCAAATTACGAAATCAATATGATATTGTTCTGATATCAAAATATTACCGATTTTAATATCGCGAAGATGTTGGAAAGGTATCGTTAAGACTATCATAACTATATCGTCGCGATATCATCAAAAAAAATCGTGATGTCATCGTGAAGATGTTGAAAATGTATCATTAAAATATTGTGGCAAATTTGAAGATTTCAGCAAAGTAACTAATTGTAAATAGACATGTAAACAAAAAATAATCATTATATATAAATATGTTTATTGTATAATCAGATAAAATTATTTATCCAATTTATTATAATTATTTTTTCACATATTATACCCTTGTAGACTATGATTTTTTAGAAGACCAGGCCTCAAAGGACCCTTTAACTATCACAGTTGATAATATCATTAAACTGCCACTTGAAAAGATTATGCCAATCATTTGAAGAGAAAGGATTTACCATTTATGGTAACCATTTAACACTTTGAACCTCTACAGTAAAGCTTTTAGTACTTCCAGTGGTATTGTAAAATGACCATTGGAACAGAACACTACTCTGAAATATGTAAGTAGTAACTTTAAAGACAGGATTTTGAATATTCTAAAAACCTTATAAGAAATGTTAAAAATGTGTGACCTAACTGTATATACTAATTTACTATGGTGCAGTTTAACTACTCTAATTCTTATATTTTCATATTATTGATAATAGTGTTTGCAGTAAAATTTGTTTAATTTCTGTGATCAGCAGAATTAAACCTATGACTTTACCATAATCAGACTTAATAAAGAAATGCGATCTTAACAACTATACTAGAATGATTAACCTTTAATAAAAATTTATTTTTGCACAAATGCTTACAAACATCATAGTTAGCTTAAACTTATTAGAAGATAAACTACTGTAAAGACATTATACCTAAGACTTTACCATCTATGGACCCCATCTAACATGTGAACCTTTGCAGTAAAGTTCAACATACCCTTAGTGATATCGTAGAATGACCACTAAGACAAGAGTCCATCTGAGTAGTATGCAAGTAGTGACTACTTAGACAGAAAAATTGGCTTCCCATTGCTTTAGTTTCAGAACGGAGGACACCATGATTCTCTGTTAAAATGTGCAGCCTAACTGTACATACTGATACACCATGATGCAGTTCATATACATGAAACCGAAATTGGTTAATTTTGACCTCCAAAATGGTCGAAATGGTCAAAATGATTTTGACTTGAGCCTCTTCAAAAGTAGAAATGGTTGAAATTACGTCATAGTCATATGATTTTATAGTAAACAATAATATTAAAATTTAAAGTTAACGATCTCCGCATCCAGTTATTCGATTTTTATGATCTTTATACGGTTGGATTTAGCTCATCTAGAGGATTCCAATGATATGTATTTCATATCTGTAGCATTAATATTGACGTAGTTATTCACTTTTAAAATTTTATATTAAATTATAATTATAAAAATCACATGACTATAATGTAATTTCGACCATTTTGACTTTAATTTCATCTTTTGACCTTCCCAAGTCGAAATATTTCTACTTTTGGGCTTTAATTTCGACTTCATATATAGCAGTTCACACTAATCCTATAACTCCACTTCAACAATATGATATGTTTGTATGCAGTAAAATTCAGTGCAGATTCTGTGATCAACCAGAATTGAACCTGCATCCTCACTATAATCAGGTTTCACAAGAGGACTCACAGACAGGACCCTGAACATTATTAAAACAACTCAGATCCTGTGTGACTAAAATTTCAAATGAGATATCTCAGTCAAGATTATACCTAAAAAGATGAATTATATATCAAAATGTTCGCCTCAATGAGACGAATCTAACAAGCCAAATATCATTAAAATCCAATCACTGGATCCCGAGATAGCAAAATTTGAGGCTAAAATCTACATATAACTTTATACATTTGGAACAGAAATTAATTATAAGGTTTATACAAATTCAGATCTGAGTTTTATTAGTAATGTTCGGGGTCCTTTACAGACTAACCAATGAGCCAAGGGTGATCAACTCTTGATTCTAATTATATTATATTAGAAGAATATATATAATATACTAGTTTTCAAAAACAAGAATAATAATAATATATTAAAAATAAAAAATCATACTTATCTATCAAGAAATAATATTTTGTATAATTAAATAAAATTAAAACAATTAGAATAAGATTATCAAGAAATTATTCACAAATATTAATTTTATATATTTTACATGAAGTTAGCTTAAAGTGAAAAAATTAAAATAATATTAAATATTTTTTATAAAAATCAACACTAGCTAAAGTAAAAGCTAATACAGTTTTTAAAATGATGTTAGAAATAACAGATAAATGGTTAATTGAATTTTTTGATAAATTATATAAAGAAACTAATTCTACTAATAAATCAGAAAAAACTAATAATAGTAATAAGAAAAAATTGGTTTTTCTATGTTATTTTTTAGCATGTATTAATAATAAGTATATTAATGAAATTAAAGTTGATATTAGTTTATATTTGCATTTTGCAAACTTCTAGAGCATCAGCTACTTCTATTGATATACTTGCAAACATAAGATTATTAATATTAAGAAAAACTGTAGATAGGTAAAAAAAAGTTATTTCAAATGAACATGAACAATCTGTTAATAATTATTCTTACAAAATATAGAAAAAAAAATTATTTTAAATATTGATGATTATCATAATATTTATTATCATACTATATCATCATTATTTCATTATTAGAAGTATAATTATACACTGGTAAAAAAATAACCTATCCTATACATATCTTACACATATCTTATATATATCGGATACTTAAAATATAGAAAATCTTACACAAATAATATACATATCATACACACATCAGATATTTATATATATCGTATACCTATCAGGTATCTGATATTTGTATGATATATATATAAGTTAAAGATATACTAATATGTAATTATTTTTAGAAATTTATATATAAGGTTGCAATTATTACAACATACATAGTTGTAATTACAACACAATATTATAATTATTATATAATATTATAATTACTACTAGTATTATAATTATTATATAATGTTGTACAGTCAGACCTCTATAATTGCACTTTCTATAATTGCACCCACTATATCATCAGGAAATTTTATAGCGCGAAAAATTGCGTAAGTTTACGATTTTGTAAGTTTACGAAAGTTTATGGCATAATATTTCGAAAAATTTCAAAATATTACGTAAGTTTACAATTTCGTAAGATTTATGTGATATTACGGTTAAAATATTACGTAAGTTTTCAATATCGTAAGATTTACGCAATATTACGG